AGTTTGTAAAAAAAAAAAAAAAATAGATTGAGTTAATAGGTATTATGTAAACGTAAAGGTAAACGAACGGTGGCCCATCTCGCCCCGTATGGTCTTCTTGCCCCCATCGCCTCTATTGGACTGAATTCGGAAACGCTCATGTCCAACCGGTTTTCGTTTTGGGCTGGAAATTCTCTAAAGCAACATATTTAAAAAATCTAGGAAAATCCGGAACATAATTAAAAATTCTTGAAATAAACGTAATAACATATAAGTGAATTATATCTGGGTAAGTATCTGACAAGACGATTGAAAATCTGGAAAATCAAATAAATCAGGAATACTGGCAACGCTGTCTCGTTTCATGCCCGTAGAGACAACCGACACTCATCCCATTTTCAGTATTTTGCTACCCACAGTATTTATTGTACCGTCCCTGTATTCATAATATGCTACTCGACGCAGGTATAAGACCACCCTCGACGGTCGAAATGTCATCAGTGGCAGTTCGGCATTAGCTGCTTGAACGTCAAGCAGTACAGTTCGGTCTTTGCTCGCTCTGTCGAGTTGTTCGATTAACCTATAGTTTGTTACAAACGTTCGCAGATATACTGCACGTCGCGTCGTCAGTAGTGTCGGTCGCATAGCGTGATGGGAAGACAGCGCTCTCGAAGCAGACTTCGTGACCAAGCGGAGAAGAAGAACAGTGGTGAGGGTAGCTCGGTACCTACCTCAAATAGGTACGCTACTCTGCCCACCGATGTTGGAAATACCAACCCAGTCCCGGTGAAGCGGACGAAAAAGAGGAAGAAGAATCAAGGACAGTCCGATGGTACGAGCGGACGCGACGATGTTACCGCGACGAACGCCAGCGATATCGGTGATTTCGGCGACGCCGCCGAAACCGAGAATTCTGCCGGCCTGAGTGCGGCGAAAATCAAGCTTCCTCCACTGGTGGTGAAGCAAGTACCACTCAACACGATGATTGGCGATCTCTCATCGCTGGGCGTTGCCGCTGAGTTTAAGCTCGGCAGGATCGGCACCAAGGTGATGCTGCGAACAAAAGCGGAGTACGAAGTGGCCGTGAAATATCTGAAGGATTCCAAGGCGGAATTCTTCACGCACGACATCCCCGGTGAGAAGCCCTTCAAGGTAGTTTTCAGGGGTCTACCAAATTTCGACCCCAAGATGGTCGAAGCTGAAATCAACCGGTACAAGCTAGCCCCAATCGCTGTATTCCGAATGACAAGGAGAGACGAAAACGTGAAGACGTACCCGGATTGCCTCTTCCTGGTGCACTTCCAGAAAGGGACGGTGACTCTCAATGCGCTGCAAGCCATCCGATCGATCTACTCCATCATCGTACGATGGGAGCCATATCGTGGCGGCCATCGTGACGTAACGCAGTGCCAGCGGTGCCTCAATTTTGGTCACGGTACCCGCAACTGCAACATCAAACCACGCTGCAGCAACTGCGCTCAAGAACACGCCACTTCCAACTGCCCTGCGGATGGAGCCGTGGCGTTAAAATGCGCCAACTGTGGTGGTGCACATCAAGGTTCCGACAGACAGTGCTCCAAACGCGAGGACTTCAAACGCATCCGAAAGCAGGCGTCAAGCAACAATCAACCAGGACGCAAGAAGGACAAAACCCCAGCATTCAGGACGGAGGATTTTCCGCCTCTTCGTGCTCCCCAGCAAAGGCAAGCGAATTCGCGGGTGCAACCCGCCCCTCCTCAAGAAGCTTTCGGTGATTCTGCTGGCCAAAGCTCTCCATCCTCCCCTGGATTCTGGAGACAACCAACAACGCAAAACAACAACCCCGATCTGTTCTCAGCGGATGAACTGATGGAAATTTTCGTCAACATGTCCGGTGCTCTTCGTAAGTGCCGCAATAAGCCCGAACAGATCCAAGTGCTCGGTAAGTTCATCATCCAGTATGGCGTCTAAACCGCTAACTATCGTCACCTGGAATGCTTGCTCCGTAAGAGCAAAAAGGATTGAGCTTGCCGACTTCCTCCGCAAGCACAGCATCGACGTGGGTCTTCTAACCGAGACCCATCTAAAGTCCGGCGACAGCTTCTGGTTGCCTGACCACAACATTATCCGGCTTGATCGCACCAGCTCCAGGGGGGGTGGTGTTGCGGTCGTCGTCAAGAAAGGAATAAAATACCACACTCTGTCCCATATCCGCACCTCTATCATCGAGGCCCTTGGTGTGGAGGTGGAGTCGTCGACTGGATACGTCCAGTTCATCGCCTTCTACTGCCCTCGACAGTGTGCCGCCAGCAGTGGACTAGCGGCTAAATTTAAGAAGGACCTGTCCACCATCACCCGTACCGGTTCCCGCTTCGTAGTTGGAGGAGATCTGAATGCTCGCCATGAGGCCTGGCGGAACTACCAGCAGAACCAGAACGGTCGTCTCCTGTTCGACCACTCACAGCATGGGCTGTACTCCGTTTGGTTTTCGGATGAACCAACATTCATCTCACCGGCGGGCAACCCATCGACGCTAGACCTGTTCCTGACAAATATCGGCTTGTCCAAGCCGGTAGCCTTGAACGAACTCAGCTCCGACCACCAACCGGTGGTGTCTGAGCTGGGCTGCAACGTGGCTCCTGCTTCAAGCCTGCGCAAGGACTATCATCACGTAAACTGGGTCCAGTTTGGACGCGTGGTAGACAGGCATCATCGACAACCCGCCGCTTGACACCGTGGAGGACATCGACCGAGCGTTGGAGGGACTCCACCAAGCCATAACCGTGGCTGACGAGACGTGCGTCCGACGAGCTCCTGTGAGGGGTAAGTTTATTGCTATTGATTCCCACACCCAACTCTTAATTCGCCTGAGAAATGTTCGTAGACGCCAGTTTCAGAGGACTGGAGATCAAGCGAGGAAACGTGAAATGGCCGATCTGAACAAGGAGATTGCTTCCAGAATGGTCTCACTCCGGAACGAAAGTTTCGGGCGGCTTGTCCAGAATCTGGACGACCGCTCCAGACCATTCTGGAAGGTTGCCAAGGTCTTAAAGACGCACCCTAAACCCATTCCGCCACTAAAAGATGAAAATGATGACGATCGGCTCATAATCACCCCTCAGGAGAAAGCAAATGCGATTGGTGAGCATATTGCCAAATCGCACATGCTTGGCTCCAACATCCAAAGTCCGCTCGAAGTTCAGGTTGAGCAATGCGTACTCAACCTTGATTCCTCCCCTTGTGCCATCCCTCCGAAGGATAGAATCACAGTGGAACAGATTTGCTCAGCGCTGAAATGCACCAAAAATATGAAGGCCCCCGGGTTTGACGGAATATTCAACCTAGTGTTGAAAAATCTCAGCATGAAGGTTCACTCTCTGCTGGCTGCTGTCTTCAACAGATGCTTGGAACTGCACTACTTTCCAAGTATCTGGAAGACAGCGAAAATCATACCTATCCGCAAACCCGGGAAGGACCCAACGCTAGCTTCAAGCTACAGACCAATCAGCCTCCTTTCAGCGCTGAGCAAATTGTTCGAGAAACTCATTCTCAATTGTTTGCTCAAGTTTGTCAAGGAAAATAACATTCTCCTTCCGGAACAGTTTGGGTTCAGAAAGGGGCACTCCACCAATCACCAGCTAGTGCGGGTGATGAATAACATCCGAAGTAACAAAGCTGTATCCAAGTCCACAGCCATGGCCTTGTTAGACGTTGAGAAAGCGTTTGATAATGTCTGGCACAATGGGCTTGTATACAAGCTTTGTAACTTCAACTTTCCATTACATCTGGTTAAAATCACCCGTAGCTACCTCCAGCAAAGGTCGTTTAAGGTATCGTTGAATGGTTGTCTTTCAGACACGTTTTCCATCCCAGCAGGAGTCCCGCAAGGCAGTCTGCTGGGCCCCTTGCTTTACAGCATTTACACTTCCGACATTCTTCCCCTTGGAGACGGCTGCGTGTTTTTCCTGTTCGCAGATGATACCGCAATAGCCGTCAAAGGAAGGATGCCTCGCGAAATAACGAACAAACTTCAACGATGCCTTAACGCCTTTGCTGATTATGCCACCACGTGGAAAATCAAAATCAATGCTTCCAAAACACAAACAATCATGTTCCTCCATCGACAATCACCCAAACTAAAACCGGCTCCCTCTTGTACTGTAATCATGGATGGCACAAGGGTTGAGTGGTCCGCCGAAGTAACCTATCTCGGGATGTTGTTTGACGAAAAGCTCCTATTCCGCTCGCATGTGGAGAAAACCGTAGTCAAGTGTTCCGCCTTGGTTAGGTGTCTGTATCCGCTGATTTGCCGCAGATCCCGCCTCTCAAGGATGAACAAACTGGCTGTCTACAAACAAATCATAGCACCTGCGATCCTCTACGCAGCTCCGGTGTGGGAATCATGTGCACAGACTCACAGGAACAAAATTCAGGTAGCTCAGAATAGAGTGCTGAGGATGGTTCTTGATCGTCCTTTCGTCTAGTGTTTAACAAATTTACATGAAGAGGCAGGCATTGCCAAAATAGATTCCAAAATTAACGAAATTAAGACTAAATTTGCACAAAAATGTAATTTATCAGAACATGCTTTGATAAGCAATTTGTATATAGTAGGTTAGGTGTACATAGTAGTTGTAGGTTAGTTGTAGTTGTAAATAGTAGTTATAAGTAGTCTCCTTTTTTTCCAATTCAAATCAAACCAATCCCACCAAGGTGGTCATACTTTAAAATAGGCCTGATAAGACTAGGAACTGTAAATAATAATTAAAATCTCAAATGTACTAAAGTTGAAAAGACGCATCTGTGTCACTTAAAAAATTCATACATGTAAACCACACAATCACAAGAAATAAAGATCATTTAAATGGCTGGTAAAAAAAAAAAAAAAAAAAACGTGTCGTTCGTAAATCGGTTCACCTATTTTACATTGCCTTATGTATGGACGTGGAAAAGGAGGCAAAGTCAAGGGAAAGGCATAGTCCCGTTCGAGCCGCGCTGGATTGCAGTTTCCAGTCGGTCGTTTTCACCGTCTACTCCGAAAGGGCAACTATGCCGAGCGTGTTGGAGCCGGGCTCCCGTCTACCTGACTGCCGTGATGGAGTATCTGGCCGCTGAAGTTCTCGAGTTGGCAGGAAATGCCGCCCGTGACGACAAGAAAACCCGAATTATCCCACGTCACCTGCAGTTGGCCATCCGCAACGACGAAGAGCTGAACAAACTTCTTTCCGGAGTGACCATCGCTCAGGGTGGTGTCCTGCCAAACATCCAGGCCGTCCTGTTGCCCAAGAAGACCGAAAAGAAGGCCTAAATTCGATTGAAGTTCCCACCCTTTAACAAAATCCGTCCTTTTCAGGACGACCAATTTGATGGTAAAGAGTTTCGTTTTCAAAACAGTTCCTTCGTGGTGCGCAAGGAGTGATAAAATGAATCCATTAAAAACATGGTTGAATTTTTCTGTCATGCTCTCTAGTTAATTGATATCCTCATCGAGTAGGTTCGATGATGGTTGATTAGTGTAGGCGTGTCTCGAATTCCAAGAAATTAACCAGTGCAGTGTTATCATTCCATCCACATCTAAAATTAAACTCTCGACTAAATTTTCAATAGCGCCCTAAAATATCCATCAGTACCGTCCCAACGACGCGTTCATATAGATAAGATTGGTAAATAGCAGATTTTTTAGCGATGGACCCAATCTTAGATCCATTTCCCCTACCTTGCAGAGCTGCGGTGGCCCTGGATTTATGGCCTACATTGATGCAGCGGAATGAAATTCAATATTTTGATTGCCGAAGCATACACTCAAAAAATTTACCACATAGGTATCTAATGGATGAAAACCATGTGAATTTTACATAGCTAAAAATCCCACCACAAAATCACATGAATATCATGAGGCTGATGAAAGTCATATGAAAAAAGTGTCGGAAAGGCATTAGAAAATTAATCGTTAAACTCTTTCATGATAATGTTGTGGCCCTGAAAAGGGCCATTTTTCCAACGCGCTCGGCGTAGTTGCCCTTGCGGAGCAGACGGTGAATACGACCGACTGAGAACTGCAGCAGCTGGGCATTCCATGACGGCGGCCCAGTATACCGGAGCACTGGCACCAACGCACTCGGCGTAGTTGCCCTTTCGCCCCCAGGCTCTGCTGCCGCTGCTCTGGTACTGCTGCTCTGCTGCTCTGCTGTTGGGTCGACGATCGGATAGACAATGATGGAACGGGCGACCTTGTTGGATGCTTATATAGTAGAACAGAAAATATCAGAGGTGTCAGATACTCGCATCTGATGTCTCGGTTGGAGAAAGTATAAGAATATAAAAAAATCAATCGATTTTCACCATTTTTAGACAATGGTTTACTTTTAACCATTTTCAATAGTTTACAGAATGAAATCAATAGTTTTGAAACATTCAACAAATTGCTAGAAATATTTCCAATCGATTGATGCCATTATCTCGTAAATCTATCGAGAGACGGTTGAGTTATTATGGTTCAAAATCTTTTAATTTTTCGTAACGCATCCAAAATGACTGTTTTCAATTTTGTACCCCCGTATGTTGCCGAAAGACGTTATCCAACGTCAAAAAATAATTTCTTTTCAAATTTTGAAGTGTATACATAGATTTCAGCTTTTCTACCACTGTAGCAGAAACCAGATTTAAATAAAATGCTGCATTGGCAAAATAAAAGCATTTTAAGATTGCATTCGTATACCTCCCCGTGGAAAATTTTGAAACCATCATCACCTTCATAGTTCTTCTATTCTCCACGAGTGCCAACTTTGATTTGCCAATAGCATAGTGCAAAATTAAATAGGAATCGTGGAACAGGATATTGTTGATGACCTCCTGAAAAGACCGTTTGCCAGAAGATCCATGGAGGAATAAATGCTTATTGCGAGAATGGACGTCCCACGACTAAAGTTGGACAACTTGAAAACGACATGTAAAAGAAATGGTAAAATGTTAACGCGGAACTTTCCGAAAATGGACAAGTGGAAATTGTTGGTTGTGTCATGCTCGAGGAAATTGCGCGGGAAGTGGAGCATTTCGAGGAAATCGCAATTGGCGTCAACTCAACGCTACTGCTTAGGAAACGGTGAGTAACGATGACATATATCATAAACATGAGACTTAAAAAGAAAATCAATGTTTCTATGCAAGAGTAGGCAAAACTGGTAGCAGAACTGTTTCCCATCATCATTTCGTTTATTTTTTATGCAGGTACCCCCGTCGAAAGATTTGTATCCCATTTTTTTTATTATGCATCAAAATTGGCTTCTACTGTTACAGATAAAATATAAATAAAATAGGTGCACAACTAGTGAATTTTCTCACGTGACGCCACTGGGTCTAATATTTTTCGATAAGGAACAAAACTGCCAATTGTTACGAAATTCTGAGAACCACTATATCGTTTTGCTATGGAATGGCTGTATATATATATATGCTACCAACGCCAGACCCTACCTATCGACCCATCAACTCATGAACAGGGGACCAACGGCTTTGATGAGAAGAGAAATGTTATGCCTCAGAACATCCCGGCGGCGTCGACTGGGACTGAACCCTGGAACCCAGACCTGCTGGGGTAAGAGTTAATCATGCACAGCTAAAAAAAGTAGCGTAAATTTCCGTTACTATGATGCACATAAATGGAGCGTCATATATAATACAAGTTTAGATTATAGATCGTGTAAATTTATGAGACATGTCATGCAATATTCCATATATTGTATGCAACTGTCCACTTTTGTTTGCAACATTTCTTGCAAGCTGCTAGTTTACGTGAAAAGGAAGTTTGCATGTATGAATGTTTGCATGCATGGATGTTTACATCGCCAGTAAAATTCAGAATTTTTTGGTGTGTGCTTACCACTACACTACCGGTGCCGCTAAAGAAGCATTGTCAACCTGATCAAAATACATGAAAAATAAGCGAAAACACCACAACGCATGAATTTATCTGGAATCCAACAAACTACAAAAGGTCGATAGTAACAAGCCATCAGGAAAAAAACGTAAACATTGAGGCGAAACAAACAATGTCAAAAACTAGCGGACGAAAAATAGGGGCGAAATGACGTCTGTGAACGCAGCCGGGCGAATTACAATTCTTCAAAGAATTTTCATTTTCAACGCTAAGCTTCTTCTTTAAGCTTTTACGCTTCTAAAACGAACGTTTTGCTGCCTCCCAACATAGATGCACTTCCACAGTTATTAATTGAGAGCTTCTACGCCAACTAATGCATATAATCTATGCCCAGTCAAGAAAATTTCCAGCCCGAAAGATTTCCTCGACGGGACTCCTCACCTCACCACCTGAATAGGGTATCTAAGGATATGCACAACATTAAATTCTCGTCCCATTACCCTGAAACTTTGATTTTAATGCAAAAGGCCATCTGAGAATATTATCACAAAAAAAACAAATAACTCATAAAAAAAATCATGATTTCAAAGAGATCACCTTTTTTCCACTGAGATCTAACTCTTCACACTCTTTTTAGTTCCTCAAAGCACATCTAGATTAGCCCGGTTACAGAATCAAATAGGACTAATTGTATGCATAGATAAGGTGATTGTGGGCCCCAAACCATGCTGTGATGATAAAAGTCATGAATGTTTGCTTAACTCGTATCTTCAGCCTGCAGCAGTTCCGGAAAAAATGACCTTGAATATGTTTTGGCTTTTGGCAAACATCTCTTATCAATGAAACATGACGCACTTACGGCCTGTTCGCAACTAGCGTAATGCTCTAATGCGGAGAGCGTGGGGAGTTTCAGTAGCGTAATTTTCACTGTATCATCTGCAGGAAAAGGGGGGATGTTATCGCTGAGATTTGTTATGCGTAACGTAATTCGTCAACAGACCTTTCAGCAGTTTATTTTATGCCACTTAATTAAAAATGTTCGCCATAAGCAAACTACTCCCTCAAGCTACTATAAAAGCCCTAGCAAAGCACAGCTCATCTTAAAATATCCGTGAAAATGGCCTTCCAAGTGTTACTTTTCGCTGCGTTGCTCTCGCTCTCGGTAGCTCAGCTGGAAGTTCCAGGAAGGCTAGTAAGTCGTGCATCATCTCGATCTATAAGTCCATTTGCATTTACCACAACGTGCGACGGTGTCAACGTGTATTCCTCGTGCAGTGATTGCAACAACGTATTGGTGTGCTTGGGTTCTGCTAGTGATGAGAAAAACTGCATGGTAACTTCGCCGAGCACTCCCTTCTGCGTGAACGGTGCCTGCTCTGCGAAGCCAGACATCTCAGAAAAATGCTCTTTACCTTCGCTGACCTGCACTGGTGTTGGATTTTACCCAGGTGAGTTACGCACATGATGATGTTTCAATTCAAGTAGATCTCATACTTCTTCTTCTTACCTCATCAGATCCCAACAACTGTCAAATCTACCACTACTGCGAAGGAATCGATCAGGATTCGTCTGTGCACGAGTGCCCCCCGAATTTCGTTTACAATGCTGCAACCCATATGTGTAAGCAGAAAATTAACGCCGCGGATTGCGCTACGGTCCAGTGTGATCAGAATAAAATTTTCTCCAGCTATGGCACCAGCAAGCAGTACTTTGCATACTGTCAGTACACAGCGGATGTTGTGACGAGCATCAGCATGCTGCAGTGTGCGCCGTATTCCAACTTCGACGGTACGTCTTGCGTTTTTACATGCCCAAAGGCGGGTAATTTCCAGCACTCGGATGCCAGCAAGTACTATCAGTGCTACTTATCAGGAGCAAAGTTTGTCTATCTGGTGCAAACTTGTACCGCCGGTACGAACTTCGATCAGGAACAACAGGTCTGCCTTATGGTACCCACGACGACTACTACACTGGCTCCATAGAAATGTGTGTATTTACAGTATGTTAAGTAGTTCGAGCATATACAATTTTAGCAAGAAAATCAGTGAGTTATGGTCCGAAAAATCCATTCAGCATGTTAATTTCTGTGTTAGATCTTCAGAAGTATGGGTTAAATTTTTGCAACACGTCTCCAATGACTATCATTTGTTTGGTGTCCGCTTATTAGGCAGAATGGCCACCGAACTCATTTTTCGAGAGGTTATGTAGTTATAACTATTTTTTTCCTACCCGGGATGTCCAAGGAAATTTACCTAAATTCACATTTCTTAATTCCGGGGAACTAGTTTAACTTCCCAAGAGTTTATGCATTTGTTCTAAAAGTGACCACAGAACCCAGGAAATTATCGATTTCCTTTCGAAAATGGGAAGAATCTATTCAGAGGTGCCAATAAACACTTCCAGAGGACCTTGGAGGAAACAACCGGGAAAAG